TGGCTTATTGATGGTCTCAACTCTCAAGCAAACTGTATCAAGTACAGAAAAGTCGATCAAATACAGAATCTTCCTATGTCAGATGTTACCGAAGAGTAACAGTCCGACAAGAGAATAGACCCCTTCGTGTTGTGTGATTCCAAAAGAAGAGCTTTTCTTGTTGCTACTTAGGAGATCCTTCGTATGTATCTATCAGCTCCTTGAGTTTCTCAAATCCCTGCAAAAATTATCAATTTTTTAAATTCTATCTCTAAGCTTTTCAAAAGATATTTCAAAATCATGAGAATCCAACAAATGTCTTGGAATTCTTACCATGCGGGTTGTGAATTCTCCAAATGATTCCTTTGATTGTCTCCCAATTTTCCAGTTGTAAAACAATGGCTCAAAGACTTTCTCAAAGTCGTGAATCTTCACCTTGTCCATGAAAGCCCTCGCTATTTGTGTCTGGTTCGGTGTTCCACCTAACCAAACCTGCGAGAGACAACAACGCAAAGAACCACAATAATGAGCTTTTGTCTATTGGAACCCATTGAAGGAAGCTAGTCAGTGAGGTAATTTACCTGATAGCTGTTTGGACCATCCCCGACTAGACCGAGTTCAGCCATGTATGGTCTAGCACATCCATTAGGGCAACCAGTAACTCTTACCACAACGGATTCATCATATTCAAGACCAACCTTAAACAAGAAAGAGTTTGCACATCAAACATTGTTATGGCAAAAAACGTAGTGGAGCTATCATTTTTATTACTAGTATCCATGAGATCTTACCTTCTCAAACATTGCTCGCACTCGTTTTAGAATGCTGGGAATCCCACGCTCTGCCTCGGTTATAGCTAGAGGGCACAAAGGAAAAGCTGGGCAAGCCATTGCGGTTTGGTTGAGAGGGTCTACAAACTCTGGTTGCTGCTCAAATTAATAGACTTTGTCAACTTAATTTCACAAGGGCAAAAGTGTGTACAACTAATACTGCCAAAAGCTGATGTTTTGGTCTCCCACGAAGAAAACAAACTGCTTACCAGTAGGCCAGCCTGAGCAAGCACCGTGGTGATGGGGCGCTTCCATTCGCTCTTGATATCACATAATACAATGTTTTGATTGGGTGTGATACGCACATCAAGGTTGTACTTCTCGATGACTTCTCTCAGTGTCTTTTTCATGATACCACCAACGCGTCCACTGTCTACATGAAGCCCACAAAACCAAGCACCATCTCCCTGCAAATTTTTGTAGACGATGAAAAAAAAGGTAATTGATCAACTATAAGGACAAGATAAGCTCTGTAACATAACATTCTGCAAAACTGTTCAGTAACTAACCTGCTCATGCCATCCCAAATAACTCTTGAACTCCCACTCTGGCAAATCACGGGAAGACTCAAACTTTTTACCATAGTATTGCTCAACCACATCTCTGAACTTTTCAATTCCCCAGGAGCTGATCAGATACTTCATTCTACTGTATTTGCGATCATCTCTTCTGCCGTGTTCTCGCTGTGTGACAACAATGGCCTTCACAGCATACAAAATATCCTCCTTAGGCACGTAACCTAATGGTTCCGCAATGCGAGCAAAAGTAGACTCCATTCTGTGTGTTCTTCCCATACCTCCACCAACCTAAAACAGAAAAAAATAAGCCAAAAACAATCTATGAGGAGTTTTAAAGAAGATTAAATGAATTCTCGAGATGGTAAAGCAAATGTGGAAACTTACGTATATATTGAAACCCTGGGGTTCCCCATTTTCATCTGAAACTACAACAACACCAATGTCATTGGTGAGAAGATCAACGGAGTTATCAGTAGGCACAGTTACAGCGATCTTGAACTTCCTCGGCAAGAACTGAGTGCCATAAATGGGCTCAGGAGAGTCGACAAAGTTAGTTCCATGAGAGTTATCATTTCTAGCCTTCACAACCTCAGGTGGCTCAGCTGTCAAAAACTGCTCACCATCAACCCACATGTCATAATAGAACCCTGATTGAGGACTGAGAAGAGCTGCGATGTTATCGGCTGTTTCTTGCGCAAACAGATAGTCTTTCTTGACATAAGGCGCAGCCGGAGCAAGAACATTTCTGTTCAGATCACCACAAGCACCAAGAGTGCTACCCATGTTTTTTATAATTGAGCTCATCACAGTCTTGAGATTCTGCTTCACAACACCATGAAGCTGAAACGTTTGCCTAGTAGTCAAACGAAGCGTACCAATGCCAAACTCATCAGCTAAGTCATCCATAGTCAAGTAGAGCTGGTTAGGGACCTTGCCACTTGGGTTCTTAGTACGGAGCATGAAAGAGTAAGATCTTCCACCACGTTCCTCTCTGTTGTACTGTTGGTAGCTTCCATGGAACTTGATGAGCTGCACCGCCGATTCATTGACGTTTGGAGCCTCTGTAAGAAGCTCCTCGTTAAGAGGATACCTTATGAAATTACTCTTCTCCTTGATTATTTCAACCTTACTCCTCTTGGTGGTTTTCGCCGTCTCAGTCTTCGCCGGCTGAATAACAAAAATCACAGAACATCAACGTAAGTAAACACTTCTCTCATTGTTATCTCAAATCGACCTAAACCCCGGATAATCTAACATCGTACCACAAAAATCAATCCTCAAATCTATCGCAACATCTCAATAACACCATCGATCGAATACAAAGCTCTAGATTTCCAAAAACACCATGATTGGTTTCCAACACAGTTGTAACAAATCAAACATCTTTGAAACCACTTCTCTACGATTGTAATCTCAGAAATCGACGTTTCCATTAGAACAAATCTCCACAGAAATCACCATTTCCATTGGAGAACAAATCCACTATTAACCAGGAATTTTATCAACAATACAGCTAAATCAGGAGAAGAATCGATTCTCACCGTAGATACGGCTTGGATAGACGAAGAAGATGATGACGATGGAGGCACCGAATGAACACCGCTCACATTTCTTCCGAGGAAACCCGTACGAGATGACCTCAGAACATCGAGCCTCCCAAGCCGGATCTTCTGATCGGCGGAAAACACGGTGGCGACTCCCGCCGGAGATCGAAACGACGTCGTCATCGCTTCAGATTAGAGAGAAATAGAGAGAGGCACTGAGTGAGAGGCTTTGGAATAATTTAGTGGTCATATACAAAGAAGAAAAAAAGATTTGGCATGAGTTAATAAATATTTAAAATCGAAAATTAGAGACCGTGGTCAAAACTAATGTGCGCAGTCATGTGCATGGCACGAGACAATATCACCTGAGGTGGCTAACCAAAAGAGCGCGTGAAAAACACTAACCGTCGATGATGATGAGATCGGAGCGCGTGTCGAATCTTTTCGGCTAGAAGCGCATGAGATTTATTCTGTTCATACTGAAGAACCTGACCGGTATCTTGTACGGAATACAAAGCTGATGATGGTAATCTACTAAACTCGGTTATTCTTCAGAATATGGGTTACAATCTTCTGCGCGCTGGTACACCTTAATATGATATAAACGTTACGTGGCCAAGAGGAATTGGTAAGTTGTTGTTTAAAATACACACGTGCGGGAAAAAGCTGTGTACAGCGACTCTCACCTACTTAGCTGCTCGTGAGCTCGAAGGGGCTAATAGGATCCGTGGTGGGCACATGCTATAATTTGTAGTTAGCTAGCCCCAACCATTTTTAATATCAGTTTCAATTATATATGCTTTAGAATATGAATTACAAACCCCATTTGTTGAATACTAGTACTGTTTTAAATTTTGTGGATGGATATGAAACATTATAGACTAACAAAAAACATCATTAGCCTTGTAAAATGAACATCATTGTGTTGTGTGGTTTTTTTTTAAAAAAGAACATCAATTGTGTGGTAGGATCTGACCACACCATTAGTACCAAAGCAGAATTTAGCCAAAAAGTAGTGGTCTAAGTTCATTTTATGTGTTGACGAATGAAATATATTCTTTTACGTAAAGTAATATTCTTGATATCCATGGGGAATAAAAACGGGCTATTCGGAACAAGAGAAACAACAAAGGGTATAGCAAGCATGAAAGATCCTTTAAGACAAATATATTTTACTTACAAAACTCCTTAACAATTGATAGTTTGTGCAGAAAGAAAATTATAAAGCAACAAAATCATACTTGTGATCCTATGATCTTCTATATATGTAATGAACTTATTTACCATATATAGGAGATGAAAGTTCATCCAAATATAATGAAATCTTTTTATAAAGGTCGAAAATCATGACCAAATAAGAGTAAGAAGATCACGATTCCTCTAGTAATATGTTTTGATGTTGATGTTTCTCAAGCTCTTGGAAACACATCCAACGTACGTAGAATATATAGTTCGAGTCATTATAACAGTGTTATATCGCAAAATAAATAGTGAACCACCATGCGTGCATATCCTTTCAGGTGCGGCTAGCTATATAAGGGATGTTAATATAAGTAAACCCACCCCATTTAAACCCAACCCGTTTAGATCCATCCCATTTAAGACTCATCCCCATTTAGACCAATTTAGTTTTTGTACCTATTTGGGCTCCCCATTTAACCTCATTGATATTGTACTAGTCCATTTAAATCCATTTAAACTCATTTAATATAATATATGTTATTTTAATAATATGTCTAATTATTATTTAGTAAATAATATTTTGTGTATATTTTTTTTCTTATAAAATTAAATTTTGATCATTTGGTTTAAGAAAATATTCAATTCA